GAGGCCTTGGCGGGCTGGGGGGCTGGGGGGCTTCCTGGGGGGATGGAGAGAAAGAGCAGGTTGGCAGGAGGAGGGGGTCCGGCCCGGGAACAATAAATCAAAGGGAAGGGGAGTTACTGCCTGGCCAAGGATCTTCTGAAACCCTGGGCCACAGCGGGAGCCTGGGAGGAGCAGGGCTGATGGCTGCGATTGGAGTCCCGCAGCGAGACTTCCTCTGCCCGCTGGCAGAGGGCAGGCAGCAGGGCAGGCCTGCCTGCACGGCACCTGGGTGCCCGCATCCCTGGCAGCACGGCCCAGGGCCCGGCTCTCCCCCCGGCACGGCCGGATCCAGCACCTGCAGGGAAAGTTGCCTCACTAGGTCTGGGCAGTGGTTTCCCCCCCAGGCAGGTCCCGCAGCTGCGGGGCTCATTCAGGGTTGCCCACGTCCCCGCTGACGGGCTTTTTGCATCCTCAGGTCATTTTCCTGGGGCTGCCCTCCCTCCCCAGAGCAGCCTGGCACAGCTGGGATGGGCAGCCCGGCACGTGCCCAGCCAGGAGTCAGGAAGGGGCTTTAATTCCAGCTCATCCTCGTGGTCATTTTTTTTTCCTTATAGGAATATTATCACAGGGGGGGGCTGTTCCACTCCCCCCCATGTGCGACAGTGCCATGTGCTGGGCCAGGGGCTGCTGCTGGCACTGTGGGTACCAGTCCCTGGGAACCAGCCGCTGGGTGCCAGCTGCTGGGTATGAGTCCCTGGGTGCCAGCCCTCCCAGGAGCCAAAGCAAGTGCTTCATAACCAGCATCAAGCACCTTCCACCAGTCCCACCAGCAGCCCCATCCCCATCCCACTGCCGCGGGGGAGGCTCCTCCAGCCTATCTCTTCGGCATATCTCCAGTGCGAGACGGCTGCAGGCTCCCGGTAATCCGGGTTAATAAACAGGGAGTGGTGCTGGCAGCAGGATCACCCCTCGCCCTGCTCTGGCTGGGGTCAGGGGGTGCCCACACCGCCGGTTCCTGCCTGTAACCAGGAGCCAGCATCGGGCAGGCCGATCCCAGCAGAGCCTGACATGGCGGCAGCGTCAGGATCGGGGAAGCTCCCGGTGCCGCGGCGGGAGGGAGGGAAGGGGGAAATGCCTGGAGACGGCCCCGATAGTGCCATTGTGAAGGGCCACGAGAGAGGAAAGCCCTTAAGATAGAGAAAATATCAAGCGCACTCCATTGCGGAGCAGATGGGCCTGATAGCCAGGGCTGCAATTAGCTCCCCAGCGGCACACCCAGAGCTCCAGGGCCTCTCTGCCTGCACAGGCCTCTGGGAAGGGCACGCTCCCTCTGACCCACGGCCTTTCTCTGCGGTGCGAGGAAGAGGAGAGGGACAGTGGGAGTGTGAGGGAGCCGGGGAGCCCCAGCTTCATTCATGAAGCTCTCTGCAGGGCACCCCACCGAGCT